GTCAGTGTCTGGGAAGCCTGGAACCACCCGAAGCACCGAGGCCCATACATGGACCTCCTTGCTGAAGTACCACCCCAAGACTACCACAGAGTCACGGTACTTTACATCAGCAAGAACACCAGGACACCAGATGCCCCAGCCAACGAGCCCCAACTCCGACGGAGACAAAGAGAAGCAGCCCTAGCAGCATGGGAACGGGCGCAAACCTTCTATGATGCCAAACAAGAAGAGTGGCAAGCGACCCTGGACCAAGACCACCAGCTCATTTACGAGCATGCTGTCAACCGCCTGAGCAAGATTTATGCCGACCCCACGCACTACGTGCACCAGAAGGCACCACGGCATCAAGGCAAACACACCAAGCAATACAAAAAAGAGCTGGTAAACCGATGCCGAAAGCAGTGGGCTGATAACCATCACCACTGGGAGCCGCATCAAAGAAGTGGCTTTCAATGTCGCAGCTGCGGCATCCGGATGCACCAAAGCCTCACGACTGAGATACTGGAGACAAGGCTGAATGAGGACTGCCCACAAATGCTGCTTGATGATGGACCCATTTCAGCCGAAGCACCAGCACCCCTCACCAGGAAGCCAACCAGGGCTCAACAGATCAAAAGCCTCCTGGATCAACAACCGGAACACCCGACCCCGGGTCAGCACCAGCTGGCAGAAACCACAGGATACCTCAAATGCCTTGTGTGTGGCATCAATATCCACAAGCGAGTCAATGAAGCCGCCTTCAACAACTTCATCCAGAGCCCATGTGTCAACCAGGCCTACACTCAGCCCCACTCAGGCCACCCCAGCCATGCACTATGGCGCACTGGGGAAAAGGTGAAGTGCACCCAATGTGGCACGCATTGGAACTTGGATGGCGAGCTCCGTCTCATAGCCACACAAGCCCTCCACAAACCATGTAAGGGAGCTGGCGCCAAGGGCTCACCGCCCATCAGTGACTTCTTCAAAAAGAAGCCAGAACAGTCCAGCAGCCACAGCTCTGACACCTTTCAGAAGCCGGCAGCTCAGGAAGCAGGGTCTGCTTCAGGACCGACACCAAGAAGACTCAGTTTCCCAACGGCACTAGATGAGCAGGAGCAAGCTGAACTCGCCATGAGTATGTCTGCTTTGGCCATGAACCCCAGCCGAACAGCAGACGAAGAGTCAGACACCCTAGATGACCAACCTGGCTATGCTGTGGAGTACTTCTGATGGTCGCGACCTGCACAAGACCTACTGAACAGACCTGAAGCCTAGCGCTGAGCCCTGACCGGCCAAAGGCCCTCACCAACTGGCCAAAATGGCCTAAAGCATAAGCAACTCTAGGAAAAAAAATACATACATACATACATACATACATACAGAAGAAAAGAATACATCTTTGCTTATCCTCTTGATGAGAGGCCTACACATGCTTTCGGCCAGACATCGGCTATGTGCAGGGCATGTGCCTCTCTCAGCACAATCAGCAAATGATCCTAGTGCCAGCGCACAACTAGCACCAAGATGCACCAAGGAGTTATTTGGCCGCAATGCTTTTGCTTTATCTTCCATCTTACCAAGCCTTTGCACCTTGGCACTTGAAGAGCCTGCATGCTTCCTATTACTTTTTACTTTAATAGCGCCATAGCGCCAGCCGCTACAAACTGTACCGTGCGCAAATTCTTCCAAAGTTGCGCTGTTTCGTTGAACAAGATTGGATTCATTCAGTTTAGTTTGCCAGGCGTCAGGAAGGGTTTAGTTTAGGACGTCAACAACGCTTTCAGAGAAAGACGGATCCTTCTTCGAAAAATTTTGCTGAGATCATCTCAGGTGGGGCTTTGCAATCTCCTGAACACACCTTCCGTGACCCAGTGAATTAGCTCATCAAGCTCCTCAAGCTTCATTTGTTGGCGGCCTGTCAGGTACTGGGTCTCTATCGGCTGGAGCCACAAGCTGTGGCATGCCGTGTCGGGCGACCGAAAGCCTTTGATTGAAGCGATATCATGGGAGACCCATGTCAAGTGGATTCATGCCAGACTTCGATGATTAAAAATGGACACAGAATGACAACCTGAGAACTAATTTCGTACCCCTTCCATTCTTGTTTTCTGGAAATTATAGCTTCTTGTTACTACTAGTAACAAGTGCCACGCTAGTAGTAACAAGTGCCTTACTAGTAGTAACAATGTTTGCTATTATAATTGTTGTTCATGGTTTTCTCATGCGCTTTCCGAAAAGACATGCTTCGCCGTCCGAGGCCCGGGTCTTTGAGCAGTCCGGGCCTAGGAGTTCGCTACAACGCGGGATAGCTCACGCTAATGGCTTGGCTCCTAGATTTTTAGGAAAACTTAACTTCCTAGAATTGTCATTGCTTCCGAAACGCGTCGTTGTTTCGGGAGATGTTTCAGAGTGTTGACCCTCCACGCCATAGCACCATCGCCCAAGGTTGAGCAGCGTCAAAAACCGAAAGGAATTTAGATGGGGTTCATGTGGCAAATGGCCAGCGAAAGTGAAAACCGGCGCGGAAGCCTTGAGAAAGCTTCGCGAAAGTAACATTTGGATCTGTTGCGAAAACTTGTTTGGAAGACATATTTTTTCAACCATTTGCACGTCAAAGGACGAGGGTTCCGCCGCGAAAGTGGCGATAAAGTAAATAGTATTTACCCAATGAGACCCGCGAAAATAAAAACACAGGTCGTGAAAGCGGCGGGAAGCACTCGCGAAAGACCTAGCTGAGTAGATTCCCGTCGCAACCAGGTTTTTGACGTGGCTTCTTATGTTTAGTGACTTCATCGTCTGTTTCGAAAAAAAATCCGGACACGAGAATTCTTCACAGGCTTTGCAGCCAACAGCTGCCAGCTGTGTCGAGATGTATCCGAAGCGTGGGTCTCACACCGGAGATGCAACGGCCCAAGTGAAACGATGAAAGGCGAGGGAAGGTGAGAAAGTGAGATCGAAGGCGAAGGACTTGAGAAGTGCTCAACTCTTGATCTCCTTTTCTGGCTGGACGCTACTAGGGGCTCCTGGCCGTACTACTAGGAGCATTGGGCATCGAGGTTTCTGATCGATTGGTTCTTGACGCTCTTCGTGAAGTGCCTCACCGTGGACGTGGCCTCGGTGGTCTGGGACCTCTTCCTTCTGGATGGCGAGGTCAGGGACTTGGAACGATCCGGCTACGGCTACGGAGGCGTCTACGCCCGAAGGGAGGAACAGATGGGAAGGATGCGGTCATCTACATATGTCATACAATCGTGTCTTGTGGTGGTTTATGGACGTGTACAGTTAGCAGGATGATCTGTGGATGATGTCAATCTTATTCGATCCAAAGTTTCAAAGTGGGCAGTAGGCTTTGGCAAATTGTCTAAATGGTCATAGATTCGTTTGGCACCTCGTCTTGCGATTTTGATAGAGGCTGATTGGGGTCATCACCTCGTGGGATTGCGAACTGGCGACACGACTCGTCTGAACTGGGATCAGTAGACAGGTGAAAGTGTTAGGCCAGCGATGGGAAAGTGAAGAGCTGGGAAGAGGTGAGGACGGGGCGAAGATGATGAATAGGATTCATAGGTGGATGTTGGATGATTGTTGCATTATTGCATATAATTGTATTACTAGTGTTTTTTAGTGGATTAAAGCCGAGTTGAGGGCAGACTAAGAGCAAGCAGTCGGGTTGAGTGGCCACAAGTTCACAAGACGAGAGACAGAGGATTTCCCTTGCAAGTTGCAGCTGGTGGAAGAAGTCCCACCTGAAGCCGACCAAAAAAGTGGAAGTACTGATGTCCGGATTACTTCCTTCAACAACAGTTTCCAAATACAGTATGTCCAATTCCTCTTCTGCCTTTGTCCAGCCAGATGAGAACTTCTAAGGTGGTTCTCTACTGCACCGCGATCGCCATCCTGCGAATCCTGGACACCTGACGCGTCGTAGAACTTCGGCGCTGCCGCACTTTTGGGATCTATTTTTCTGTTCAGAGACCATGGAAGTCAATCGTTTTTGCCTGAAAAGATGACCAGGTGGAAACATGTCGTCTAGGTTTCTCATGTTGCCTCATGAGACGCCTCCTTGTGATGTCCGAAGCGACCCAAACTCGAGGAGGATCGGATTCTCCACCCAGATGGCCGACGGGGCGCGAAAGCGGTGCGGGTGCTCAGTGGAACGTCGTGTCATCGCCGTTTGGCTTCGAAAGCGTCCTTGCTCCTAGTAAGGCCAGGAGCCCCTAGTAGCGTCCTTTTCATCCTGCTCGTAGTTAATGAAGTAAATGCCTACTTAATTAAGTGGGCTAGACAACCTCCTAGCTACTTAGTTTGCTTCCAGTAACTGGACGCAGGAGAGCTCACCGCTCGCACTAATGATTTGGCTCCTAGATTTTGAAACTTGATTGTTCTTCATTGATCGAATAGACATCAGAAAGCTGGTAGGAGTTCTCAAGTTTCGATTGCCAGTTTCGTTTGCTTTTGCTCTTTCCTTCACTCCTTCACCGGGGTTCGGTCCAGGCGGCACCAGACCTTGAAAGCTGCTGTCGAGTGCTCAACGAGGAGACTGACGTCGTGCAAATCATGTAGCCGGAAGACGGTTCGCCTCGCCGTGTGACCATGTGGGGGGTGAAAAAGAAATAAAAAGAAGACCTCAAGAATGATCACAAAGAAACGACTGGGCTTGTCTTTGGATGTGTTTGGGTCAATTAACTAGGGCCCTTTGAAGCGACGCCATATTCCCATGATTCATGTTTGCGCGCCTGATGCACTTTATTGCACAGGCCGTGATTTTCCATGTCCTCATTGAGCGTCCTTACTCCTATTAGTACGGCCAGAAGCCCCTAATAACACCCTTGCTCCTAGTAGCGATGCCCTTTGCTCCTAGTAAGTAGCCTCTTGCTCCTAGGAGTTGCGAAATCGAGTCAATGATCCAGATGATCTGCTCTGGCACATTGATCAGGCAAAGTGTCAAAGCACAATTAATAGAAATTCTATGAAATTGTCCTATGGTGTTCTATGCATGGCAGCTGTGGGCGATTGATAATTCTGGGCGATGCGCATTTCAAAACTTTATTCGTGGAATCCAAGACTGACCGCGCAAGTCTTCGTCACGCACCACGTTTCCATCCTCATCGACCAATGGTCCTTGATGCTCGCAGGTTCGCAGGAAAGCTCCGCAGAGGATTTGCGTTGGGGACCCAGGTTGGAGGCCATCGTTATCAGAAACAAAGAAGTTGTCTATTAGGTTGGAGCCGAACAGGGGCCACGTGTCCGCAAGCGCTGTCGGACCATGAGGCGGAGATCCGTGCCATTGAAAATACGGAGTTTGGCACTGGACAAAGAATTTCCGGCAGATAAATAACTTGCTTATTTGTCCTATATAACATTCATATCTATATGGAAGGACCGGAGAACCCCACCAACGAAAAGTAGAGATTAGAAAAGGAGGACGGAAAGATCCGAGACGATCGGAGGTGAATGAAAGAGATAGGGAGGTGAAAGAAGAAGTAGCGCATGATTGAGGGAATGAAAGAGAGAATGTGCGCGTGTAGGTTCCATTATATTTCCGTTTGATGTGAGCCTCTCTAGAAGATATATAGTATAGTATTTCTTTTTGAACAAAGGTAACGCAAGTATTAACTAGATATTCTGGTATAGGGGTAGCAATTAGGAGAAGGTCTAGGCTCGTGATAAGCTAAAAATCTGATTTCCGTTCGATGAGGCGCTAACGATATTCCACACACATCGGTTGTTATTGTAAGGGCTTCGCCCGGGTGCCGCCGACCCCTTTTCAAGAGGAGTGGAGGCTGCGTGGCATGCGCTAAAGCCCACAAAGGTGGAGATGCCAATGCCAAGGTTATGCCCTGCGACCCCAGGATATACACCAACAACACCAATCACAGCAGCAGCACTAAGAAGAAGACCCAGAAGCATCACAAGATCAGAAAAACCACTAGCAACAGGCAGCAAGAAGCATAGTAGCAATGCCCCTGTTCTGGCTGTGCTAATAGACTGGCGGCTGTTTGCGGGGGCCTTGTTGGACAGCCCAGGTGCTGAGCCAGCAAGGCTTGTGCTGCGGCAGCCCTGGTGCTGACCG